TGTCACTACATTTGCTTTAATTTATTGATTCGGTTGCTATTTTCCGGTTGTATTTTACTAATTTCCATAGACAGATTGGCGTTTCCTAAACATGGAATGAGGATCTCAATACTTTGCCAAAGTTGACCGCTTGTATTGTATTATGGATCTCATTTTAATGACTAGTCCTGTCGGGGGTATCTTTTGTTTATATGGAAAGGTGTTGAATAAATTTTTTAAATGAAAATTTGGTGGTTGGCATGAGTGGTTGAGCCATTGTTACTTGTTTTTGTGCTCCTACAGTTTGTGATTTTATCGTGATCCAGTTTTGCTGATTAATTTTTTCTTTTATCAATTTTTACATTCACTAATGTGAACATATCAGGATGGAGGGTGAGCTGAGGGAGATGAAACCTGGTTTTTATACAGTCGAACTGAATCGAACGGTATGGGCTGTACCTGTCTACTATCAGAATCTGACTCCAGTAGGCACTGGAGCTTATGGGACAGTTTGGTGAGACCTTACAGACATTTTTTAAATGCCGACGTTTCCTTCCTTTACTTGAACTATTTTCTTTTTTGTCGAAATTATTTTATATAATTTTTCTCAAATCTCTGCTTTAGTTTTGATAATTTTTACATTTCCTTCAATTTCTTTCACTTTTTTTTGATAATCATGCGTAACATCGGGACCTTCATGATTTACATTCTAAAATTTTTTTTGTGTGATTCCTACCAACGAGCTACAATTTTACAGTGCCGCAGAATGCTTACGAACGAACACTCGCGTGGCTATCAAGAAGTTTAATCGACCATTTCAGTCAATTATTCATGCGAGAAGAACATACAGGTAATTCAGATACAGAGCCCATTCTTGACTTTTTTACCTTCGCCTTTTCAACTTATCGAGGTAGAAATCTGAGCTATTCATCTCTTACCAGAATTTTGCGTGAAAGGAAATTCCGAAGGGGTTTGAGAGTTAGTAGAAGCTTGCATGCTCGCCTTTTTCAGGGCAAGCGTCATTCCCACCTTAGTGATTTATCCTTCCAACTCTTGTAGCAGAAATTCAATTTGGAAAGAACGAAGTACAGGACGTGGGCACCTCTCAATGCTTGAACTGCAGCACTACCAGCTCTATCTCGGCCTTTCCAGTGAACATGGGAATGGGAGAAGGGTGGCAGAGGGAGAGGGGAGCGGTACAGAAATCTTGTGTGAATCCTGTAAAGGTTTTTTGAATCGCAGTGATGGTCTTTCAGTGCGTTCATTGCGGTTAACATAGAAGGCGTCAATGATTCTATTCTTTTTTATCGTTTTTGTTTTTATCGAAAATTTTAAAATTATAGCTGTAATTCAGAGAACTTCGGTTGCTACGTGGAATGGATCATGAAAACGTTATCGATATGTTAGATGTATTCACTCCAGATGCTTCTTGTGAACAGTTGACAGATGTGTAGGTTTATTTGGAGGTTTCGTTTGGGTACTAATTTGTTATTCATTATACATCGAAATGCCCTATCGGCAGTATTGACGGAATGCAGACTTTTTTTTTTTTGTGAGATTCTCTCTCGGTCACTAAACTGCTGTATCTGAGGTGCAGGTTTTTTTTTCTAGGTATTTTGTTTCAATGCTCATGGGTGCCGATCTGTCGAATATTCTCAAAATTCAACGACTTAATGACGATCATATTCAGTTTTTGGTCTACCAAACACTTCGAGGTCTCAAGGTGATTTTTGGCTGCGTATATCGAAATATTTGTTCATCCGCGAGATGTCTTTTTGGAGGTTTATATTAAGGATCGAGGAAATATGTAGTAGTGCATCAGAGAGTATAGGAACATGAGATATTGAGAGCGGAGGGTAATTGTAGAGAGGGAAATTTGGAGCCAGTGAAGTTGCTTTGATTTTGCTGCTTTTCCCCCTTTTCTTCAGAAATACAAGCGTGACTTGCCCTCTGTGAAGACTTGAAAGCATGAAAATGCTGCTGGAAATCGATGAACTTTGATGAACTTCTTCGCTTTGAATCTTGGATACTATGTGTATTGAATGGACAAGTTCATTGTGGACATTGTTTTTCCAGTATATTCACTCTGCCGGCATAATTCATCGTGACCTTAAACCTTCCAACATCGCCGTCAACGAGGACTGTGAGCTAAAGGTAAGTCTGTTTGGAGGGAATATCGCTGTATTGCTGGCATTCACCGAAATTTTATGAGTAGGTATTAGTAATTTAAGATACTCGATTTCGGTCTTGCCCGACAAACCGATAACGAAATGACAGGATACGTGGCAACTCGATGGTATCGAGCTCCTGAGATTATGCTCAATTGGATGCATTACACGCAGACTGGTTAGCGAATGACTTATGCTGCCATTCAGTTTTTCTCCTTTTTTTGTGAAAAATCAATTTCAATAGTTGAATTACTACTGAAAGGTTGAGACAGCTCTATTACGAACGATAGATGTATGCTGATTCCTGTTTCAGTCGATATATGGTCTGTCGGTTGCATACTGGCTGAGCTCATCACCGGACGAACGTTGTTCCCAGGTTCCGATCGTGAGTTTTCTTCCCATCCGCTGTGAATATAAATCATTTTTTCAGTTTTCGTGTAGATCCTTACAATGCCTTACAATCTGTCATTTTGTATTTTTAACACAAATGTTTTTGTGGCGTGCCTTCCTATCTCTTAATTTGATCTTCAGATATTGATCAATTGACTCGCATAATGAACATAGTTGGGACGCCCGACGAGGAATTTCTAGCAAAAATTCAATCTGAAGAGGCAAGGAACTACATTAGGTGAGCCAGAACTTCGCATCTGAGTACTTATAAAGGGTAGCTTGTCAGTAAGGCGCGAATGTTATTTGATAAGAATTCGGACCGACCATAGAGTGGGGTAGTGCCTCCGTCTTGCTGAGAAGTTTAGAATAGTGGTAAATAGTGAAGTAAATAGTGAAGATTCTTGGTCATTATCAGAAATTCCAAGTTTTTGGAAAGAATTAAGATGAGAATTCTTCGGATTCACCTTTCATGGAGAAAAATTGATCATTTTCTATGAAAAATTCTGAATTTTTAAGTCTATTGCACGTAAAGTGCTACTTATGAATTGCTCAAGATGATCGATTTTTTGAGGATGTTTCTGTTTAGAAATCTTCCCAAAATGCCAAGAAAAGACTTCAAGAAGCTCTTTGCTACGGCCAGTCCTGCAGCTATTGATCTGTTGGAGAAGATGCTTCAACTCGATCCTGACTATAGGTAAACGACCTTCTTATTTTCTTCTTATGATCACAAGAAAGTTGGCATTTCCACTGAATAACACTTTTTATGAGCAAATGTAAGTTTTGTTTGTTCTCTTTATATTTTTTCACTGTATTTTTGTTTTTTGGTGTTTGCTGGCATACTACACGTTTGACAGTTTTTGTCAAGTGATTCAATGTTCAAAACAGTTTTTGTTTAGGCCAACTGCAGCTGAAGCAATGGAGCATGAATACTTGGCTGCTTATCATGATGCTTCCGATGAGCCGACATCTGAAGTGTTGGAACTAGATGAAGGAGTTGAGACGACAAATATAGACGAGTGGAGGAGATTGATCTGGAACGAGATCGAGGATTTCGCGGTGAGTGTCCTGCCTGTGATTTCGGCCGGCCAGGACGTCTTGAAAGTAGCCACTGGCTTACTTGGGCTGTAGTTTCGATTAGTGGGTCAACAGAAATACTCTGTTTGCTCTGGCTCTCCTTGTTCGATTGAATATACCGCAGAAACTCAGTGGGAGTGGCCTTACTTCGAAGAGTGAAATGGAAGAAAAGAAAAAACTTCCAAAAGGGAAAAGAGAGCACGAGAAGAGAGAGGAAAAGAATCCACCTCTAAAATAAAAAAAATGGAATAGGAAACGTGAAGTAGTTACTCGATGAATTTGGGACCTTATGAACAGCACCCACCCAACCCTCCGAACATTCTTGAAAGCATGCCATTTCGTTGTTGCCTCCGATCGACTGTGATGAGCTCCACGTCCCTTTCCCGTCCCTCAGCCAGATTTCCTGGTCCGTTCCTATAACTGTCTCGTAAGCTTAGCTGTCTTCATGGTAACTCTGGAGAAATTCCAAAGGGAACTGAAGGTCCAAAGACATGCCCTCTTTTCATCATTTATAAATTGCTCCATTTCCAGGCACATAGGGATGCGACGACCCCAAGCTCAACCATGGACGAAGGATAGTCAAATTTCAATGACGTTTCTAAGTCGATATTGCCATAAAGGAATCTCCCGGTGGAAGCTCATTCTCTGTCTGAGTAGGTGCCGATAAACTGCACAGCCTTCATAGCTGTAGACGTTCCTCACTCCGAATGACTTAGAATTTCCTACTATATAATTATATGCTTCGTTAGAAATACCCCTGACAGAATATTAAATACTGCAGCTCCTAGAAGAAATCTCTTTAATTTCCCGATTTTTTTCTTTTTTTTCTAGGAGCCATTTGTATATATTTGGTTTTTGCTATTTATCTAATCTGATGAGGTTAGTTGTCACCATATATTGTAGTAGGTAGTTCAGCGCGACCCTGGACAGGGGCTCTCAAACTCAGGTTCCCTATGGAGAGACTTCACTGGAAATGTTTGAATTTTCACGTCCTTGTTATGATCGGGGCTGGAAAAAACACGGTACATGAAGAGCAACATCATAGAGGAAAGTAAACACGGGGGCTGAGTGCTGGGAACAGAGTTCAGGCTTGTCGCTGATCCAGTCTAGTTCTCAAGTATGTGTGTTCTCATGCTCATGTCCTCTCACTGATGGCCATAACCCCTTTGATCGGTCGTTCAAATTGTTTCCTATTTTGTAAAGATCTTGTAAATTAACCAAATTCTCTAGCTATATCCATCTGAAGGATAGTATTGTGCTAGATTTTTTTTGTTAGCATCTTGTAATTCTTCAAAACTCAATTTGTTCTCAAGTATTGTTATGATAACTAGATGGAAATTTGATAAAGTTTTCGAACATTTATAAAGGTTGTCGAAGTATTTGGAAGGCAACTACTTTAGGCAAACCTTTGCGTGGATCAGATGATGGTTACGCTAACGCTTAGGTTTTGTAGGTATCCTCTGCGCAGGCTGGCCGAAAAGGGGAGAATTTTGTGAGTGAATCATCTATGTTTGATGTTATGTAAGCTGCATAAATTGTGAACGTTTCTTAGGAGCTGTTCAAGCTATCTTCAAGATGCGCCATGCATTTAACATGTCGTATGAATGTTTGGTGTACAAGGTGCTTCTGAAAGGCTAAAAGATGTACCTAAGAGTCGATCTTCTAAGGAAGACTGGTATCAATTTTCCGACCATAAAAGCTTTGGACTACCTGGGTGTGACCCAATCGCAAGGTCGCTACATATAATAATGGCGCTACATGGTACCAGCCACTTTGGTCTTTAGGAAGTAGCCCAAGGTAGGTGAAAATGTTTGGGAATCTACTGGCTGCCGGTTACCTATTAGGAAAAGCTTTTTCAGATACGAGAGGGAAGAGAAACGAATATGTGAGGAGATGTCGCGAAAGTTGTTTTGGTTTTACGTACATGTGCGTATTTGTGAAATGGGTGGGACGAACGGTAGCTCAATGTTTGTTGATTAAGGTAAACACGGTTTATTCAGTTTTTACGACTCTTCTGAAATTAGCTCTAGTCATGCAGTTCTGAATATCATGGCTGATTTCGTAAACACTTTTCAATGACATTGTTTTGGGTAAGCAATTGAAAAAACCCTGAATCAGCAACATTTTTCGGTAGCGTAACAGATCTTTCCAAGGTATTTCATGAGCACAGCTTTTTAGGAAGGTTATCCCCTCCACCTAAGAGTGTATAGTGCTTCAAATGAATACTATTTTTAATTTTATTTTTATTTCATCTGATCCAAGTTGCTGTAATAGGGCTCTCCTTGATTCAATATACATACACTCTCGGGAGAACCTAGCTAAATGTGGTACCAAATTGGTTAAGCTAAAGATTTGCGAACTTGGCTCTGAAATTCCTTGCCTATAGAATTTTCAGTTCTAGGATTTGACGTGCTTTAGCGTCTAGTTACCAAGTTCTACTGTATCCAACACTTTTCCCTTGGAATGCTTGCCGAAATTCTCCCTTCTGGGGCTCTACCCCGGTCTATCAGAATGGATTATCCATCTCTGTATCAAACCGATAAAAAATTATATCTCACGGGATAAATGATTGGAGGACAAGGCTAATTTTCGTACAACAATACTTCAACAAATGCATGATGCTCCATTTTATAGCTGTTACCGGAGTAAATGTTTTTACACCTTCCAAAGGTACTTACCAGCGAGCCTGACCCCATTCGTTCAAGAGGGAATGAATCCTTTTTCTAATTGGACCATGAATGAGAGAGCGGCGCCGAAATCTTTTGGACCAATTCCTGGCCCATAAGATGTTGCATAACCGTGAAATATGCTCTGTCATTGTTTTTTCCTGTCTATGAACCTTGGCCTTCCCACACTGTTGTTTGCCATCGAGTGAATCAACGATTCCAAATCGAACTTGAATTATTCCCATTGCGCCGATCGATGTTTGCATACAGTATTTTCTCATGAGCTCATCCTAAGCATCGCGCTTGTTTTCTCATGGCATTCTTGGCTGATCACTCTTCCCAGACTATTCTGCAGGCAACGGTTCTCATTATCAACAGGCTTACTCTCATAGTTGTCATACTGGTAGCTGTAAGTATGCGTTTCCTAGAAGAAGGGAGAAGGGTGTGCTACCTAATTGCTTCGCAGTGGGTTGTAAAAGTGCGGATATCGTGTACTGAGTAGCTATTGTAACATATTGATTTAATCCTCGTATGTAAATGCCGTCCTCTCAGCGGACACTCCCTCGGTTGGCTCACGGGCACCAGCTGAATTCCTCTTTGTAATTTAACTTGCTTAGACACCTAGTCCTTTCCACTTTATCTATTTCACAATTAATAAAAATTAATAATTAGGCCCAGGTGAGTTACCATTAGTCAGCACCGCTACCACTTATATGGATCGGGATCGAACTCGGGCGATACACGCTTTGTAGACAAGCGTTTCATGTCCCGGACAGTGGTTATTTGGTCCTCAGTAGTACACGACCGCTAGCCTCCTATAAGCCGCTGCGTGGGTCAAATACGCATTCAAAGGCAGCCACGGTTATGAATGAAATCGAGTGCAGGACACCTCCTAGAACAAGATTAACTAATAACCAAAACGTGTCACCTATCTGTAGTGGACAGCTCTTCATTATTTTGGTGGGAACATCGACAGTAGGGGAGCAGCCAAAACAGTTGCCCCTCCTAAACTTTTATTGTACTAATAGGTCTCTCAAATATCCGAAGCTTGGGTTATATAATTTTCACAAAACATTAGATTGAAGAAATCAATTTATCAATCTTTGACCCAAATAATATGATGCTATGTTCCTGATGACATGCATTGTACGCAATCCATGATTAATAACTTCTGAAATCGTGTCCACGCCTTTCTCTGAAGGTCTGGGACACGGCGCATTCTTCCGGACTCATTTCTGAGTGACTAACTCCTATTTTGATTAGTTCTTTGATATTTTGTAGAGAACGTTCTTTTTTTGCAAGACATTTGAAAGGCCAGAGGTCGAGTGGCGATCTGGTTTCCGATATATTCATGGCCAAGGTCATTCCGTACACTTTCCTCTTCATTCTTCGCTGTACCTCCTCACTGTCTAGGCTCATTTGCGCATTTGTTTTAACTCTGGAGGCAGTAACATTTTGATTGGAAGTTATATACTCTTAACTAGTTCATTTTAGTCAATGAAAGGGTGTTTGTAAATGTAAAGACATGTTAATTATAACATTATGAGCTTCCCGTGTTCTCCGCATAAGACAAGGTGATGGGAAAATAAGATAGTTTTTGCAGGAGTTACTTACTCAATCGATTGCCCATATGTATACCATCTGTCACTACAGATTTTCGTCTTACTTTTAGCCATGAGTAGCTTTTTATGCTGTAGAAGTTGGAATATCCAAAAAAGCGTCAAAACGCCTAAAACGTTATCCTTTACTCGAGTAGAACTACTAGCAGTAGTAGAATGGATATTTTTACGATAAGTTTCGGCAGACGACTTTATTTATTTGTTTAATTGTTTATTTTTTATGCCCCCATGAGTGCGCTTATAGTTGCTTTAGCCGGTTGTCCCAAGACTTTCCTAAGTCATTTGTCTCGCTACTTACTGTGTCTTAGGAACTAGCTTCATTAAGAAACATACAGCAAGGCAAAACAAAAACGGGGAAAAGAAGGAGCATTGGTCGTTCGTTAGTTCCTTTTTGGGATAAGCCATGCATTACACTCCCAATGGAAATTACCATGGGGAGATAAGCATTGAATTGCTGAGATTACTTTTATGATACGTACTACACGTGGAGTGTAAATCACTAAGTATGGCAGCTTGAGTTTTTCTTTTCCTACGGATCTTGCTACAGAAGTTATATTAGATTGTTCTTTTATCGACGAACTTCTAAAGAAAAATTGTTTTCTACGATTTCCTCCCATTCATTTACACCACTTTCTGTCAAAAATTGATGACATCAACGATGTCATCGTTGCTAATCAGTGTTCTTTCATCATTGACAATTCCCGAAGTACTCATTTTATGTCGTTACAGCCTGATGATTCTACTGGTGGTCGCTCTGCTTGGTGCTGCCTACTTATTTCACCTATACTCCAAACGTCAACAGGTAAGTGTTCTGCTACTCCTCCACTAGTCATTTGTTTTCAACAGTTCTTTTTTAATTCAGTGGACGGTTTCTGGCCGCAAAAAGCAATTTGTGAAGATAGTTGTTTAGAGACAAAGAGAATTGTCCCAAATAGTTTCTCAACGAGCGTTCGAACGGGTTGAGTCGATTGCCATAGCAGAAAACTCCAGTGCCAAATTGAATCCGGTCAAGAGAGATGAAATTGCCGCTTGGGATTTCCATGAGCTCAGAGGTGGGTGATTAAAACTTCATTAGCACGAGTTTCAAGTGAAGAGCGTTCTGGGGAGTTTTCAATATAGTATCAAATTAATTGGAATTGACTTTTTGTCAATGCAAAGAAAAAAATGTAAGGTATTAAAAAAGCAGTAAAGGAAAGCAAAAAAGGTTAGCAGCAAGCTAAGGTGATCTTTTGCCAGTGATACCAGCAGCCTTTGAGTCACTTTTCGAATAGTTTTTCGTTCATTGTACTCTGTCGTAGAACGTGCCATGCATCCGACTTCCACTCATAATCACGGTTGCAGTGGAACACTAGCTACATCTTTTCATAAATTGATCTTAAAGTCAGTCGAAATCGCTTAACAACAAAGTTCTCTTACGATCAGGATAAATGAGGGGTTCGTATATCTCGAGATCGTTTACTCGGCCGTTAAGTTTTGTGTGACAATCTAAGTTAAAAAAAATGAAAAGTCAATATGTCCTTCTCATCCATAGGCTATAGAAAAAAGGAGACGGGAGCAGGGTTGAGTGGATGAGAAAAAAATGACAGTATGGTAAGAAGTGTTGCAAAAATACAAAATCCCAAAGTCAGTGAACTACAATCATTAAAAGGAGCTGCAATCCAAGTAATTAAGTTGAACATTGGATGTACATGAGTAATTACGGGAAGCGGTTTTTGACTGGATTCTCGAGTCAGGAGATCGTTTGCTCATAAGTTTTACCTACTTGTCGATTCAGCGAAACAAGAGAAACGGTTGGGAGTTGTGATTTGGAACTCCCTCGAAAACTACTATTGCACTGATAAAATTTTCACGAGCAGTAGAAAAATGAATGAATAATAGTAATGTAGAACCTATTAAAAATTAATTTGAAAGTGTAGATATGTTGTTTTACATAATAAGATTGTGATGGTACTGAAGTCTTTTGTCCAAAATATTATCCCTGCAGAATCTCTTACCCTGAATTTATACCTTTTGAGTTTATTTTCCGAAACAACAATCCTATATTTTATGATCATCAGGCACTCAGCTATCGGTTCGATTAACTTTACAGAGAAACTCCAAAAATGCCATGTGTCATGTCTGGAGGTGTTGCGGACCTACCAATACAAGGCAATTCAAGCTCATGCTAAAACAAACTGTGCAACGCTTTTCATTAAGGTATTTACTTTTGAACCTACCTTCACCAGGTATTCTCGGAACTGAAAATTCTGAGGGTTCTGGAAAACTTCAAGCGATCAAAGATAAATCTATCTGTTGCAGGAATCAGAACGGTGGGCTGCCGATTGGGATGAGAAAGCCCTCGCCCCAGATTTCGTCAAACCACCGTTTTTTGGGATTCCGATCAGTTTGAAGGAATGCATTTCTGTAAGAACTTCCCCGAGTCTTCAAATCAATAACTATCAACTTCACTAGTCCAGATTTTCAGTTGGAGGGATACGATACGACCCGCGGTTTTGTACAGGACGTAGGAAAACCATCAAAGTCCGATTCACTGCTCGTACAGCAAGTCAAACAGTTAGGTTCGGAATTTCTGCAGTTTCTTTGTGACTTTTAGCTGGATTTTATTATTTTAATCTTAAGTTGTGTATTACTTCATCGACTCATCAATTAATTTGTATTTTTACTCAAAACTTTGATTACTTTGCATTTTAGGTTTCATCCCATATGTTCAGACGAACGTACCGCAATCATTGCTGGCCTACAGTTGTAGTAATCCTATTTACGGTAGTGTAACCCGTTTTTTTTATTCTCAATAGATTTATTTTCGATAATTAATCCCTGGAACTGTTGTTTAGGTACCACAAATACACCAGCGGACAGATCTCGGACATCTGGTGGTTCTTCAGGCGGTGAATCGGCACTTCTAGCTGCAGACGGGTCTCTCATCGGAATTGGTGGCGATGTCGGTGGTTCAATTAGGATTCCATGTCATTTTACGGGCATGGCTGGCATCAAGGTATCGCCTACATAATCGGTTCCGTCGTGAAATCATTAATGTTTGCCTTAGACGTGCCAAGCGTGTGAAACTGATGCGTTCCCATTAAACTAGGTGTGTGAGTGGGATTTTGTGCTTTGGGACGTATTTGGGCTTCGCTAAGGGAACATAATCTTCTGAAAGAGAGAATGAGGGAAAGCCTGTTGAGGTAAAATGATGAAACATGAGAAGAATAGGGAAAACATTATGGGGAGAATGTTGGTTGAATTATTTCTTAGGGGAGGGGGGGGGGGGGGGGTTGGACCAATGAACAAAACTTAAATTTTTTGAAACTTGCTCTTCTTGAGACAACCGAAGGCATTGTCAGATCCATGTCGGAGAGCAAAGGGGAAGGATACCGTTAATATAGCCACACGCGGGAAGGACAGTACTCGTTGAAAATACTATCCTGCTGACTGGAAACAGCATTCGGTTCTGCCTACACCCTTCTTTCAGCCCTCGTCACTTCGGTTTTCGCATCGTGGTAATCCAGGAGCTGTACCAGGTCGTCCGCTGATAAATGCTAATGAGGGCCCGATGACTAGGGATATCCTCACATCGGTGGAGTTCTTGAAACAGGTAAATTGAGATGTGTATGCCTGGAAACTCTGAACTTTGTAATTCGTACCGTAATTTAGGTATGGAGCAAGAATTGGATCGCTGAGAATGATCCTTATGTACCACCCGTAGTGTGGAACGATGAGATGTATCGTAAGGGAAACAAATACCGTATCGGTTATTATATAGACGATGGATGGTTCACGCCAGTACCAGCCATTCAGGTAATAGCGTGCCTTTCCTGACATGTGTACGGTAGATTACAGTAACTATGTCAGTCTACGTTTTATTTTTTTGCGAAATAACTTTTATTTATAGCTCTTTTTTGGGAAATTCGATTTACAGCGTGCTGTTCTTGAAGCGAAAGCTCATCTGGAAGCTGCCGGTCATACTGTAGTCCCATTCAGTCCGCCCAAAGTTCCGCAGATGATTCGACATAACGTCCGGGCACTCTGTGTTGATGGCGGTACATACATATACAACAAACTCTGGAATGTCAGTATTAATTGTCTTTTTATTATTGCAGTTTAGGTTTTATTTCAGAAGGTCTCTCCAGAAGCCAGGTGATGGCGATTCATGAAGATATAGCTCCCAACTTACACCATTTCTAGACGTGAAGAAAACCTCCAATAAGGCTATTTCAGGATATAATTGACCCATCTCTTTATGGTCAAATGCTTATATTGCTGGTGCCAATCTGGATTCAGCGAATTCTAGCTTATCCAGTTGAGAAAATTTTCCCTCGATTGGCGAATGTTATGCGGGCGATGACTCTCAGCACCGCTGGTGAGATGGTTCGATTGTGGTTTCTTACGTTTTACAGTACTTTTCTTGTAACTTTTTCTGTTTGTACAGGCCCTTGCAAAGACAGTAGATAGCAGAATTAGTCAAGATTTGGAAAAGAAGAAGAAAGAATTTGGCAGTCAGGACTGCAAAAGACTAAAAAATTTATGTCTTCACCATAGATTACCTCCCATTGGTTTAGTCTCCACACAATCCAGCAATTCTAAAAATCCAGGAAAATGTGACAGTATGGCTCATCCTAGATACTCTAGTCAATATCGAATTCAGAATTTGACCATCTATGCGTTTTTCCAGAACTTCGCGAAACTTATGCCGAAATAGAGCAATATCGTGGTGATTTTGTTGAACTGATGATGGAAAACAAGATTGACGCTCTTCTTTGTCCACCACAGGTCACCCTTCTTTCAATCCTAATAACAGAAGGCTAATGTGACGCTCTACTAATTGAAGGAAAGATGTTGACGCGATTGCTGTTGTTTTACCGTAATCGTTCCAGGTCCTTACTACACCAAAACATGATATTCCGGCAAAGTTGTTCTCGGCTGTGAATTACACCGCTTTGTTCAATCTTCTCGATTTCGGAGCCGGTCAGTTTGGACAGAGGGCTTTCTTTTTTGACTGATACCTTAAGAGCCTTCTATTCAGTCGGGGCTGGTCGGTCTTTTCTGGAAGCGTGCCTCTTTTGGCAAACATCCTCTCTCTTGCAACTTTCACCTACATTTGGCTCCTATCCAGTATCCGTAGGGGTTCAGAATATGAGTATAGCGATGCAAGTACCCCCAGTAATTGATTGATTGCCGAATGCATGGCGCAACTCCTTAAATAGGCTGAAAAATGCCACAAATCAACTCTTTTTTTGTTTTTGTTGTTCTCGTTGTTGTCTATTCATCGAACAGTTTGATTTCAGGAGTGGTAAATGTCACAAAAGTAAACAAAGATGATGAGCAAAAGCTACGAAATGATTATCCTGCGACGGACTCGTGGTACAGAACAGCCAAGGACGCATGTAAGGTACGGTATATCCCAATCGCCACCTAAATGTTCTTTCGAACTTTTTCCGGTGCTTAAATGACAATTCGGTTATTCGGTTTTACCGTATGGTACTGTACAAGATATGTCCTCTAATCAGAGAACTTCAGGATTCGATCGGCTATCCGGTGAACGTACAAGTGGCTGCTCCACCTTACAGGGAAGAAATCGTTCTGCGCCTTCTCAGAGACATCGAAATTGCTGTCACTGGAAAATGATTAAGACTTTTCTGAGTCCGGGTCGGAGTACTTCGTTTTTGTAATTGTCTTTGATTTAAGCTTTATACAAGTCATCATTACCTCACAGCATAATACGTTCATAGCCATAATTATCCAATTTTAGATGCTTCGCTGTAATTTGTCATTCCTGAGCATAACTTATGGTATCACTGAAATGCTGTTTAGCCAACATTCCCCGGCTTAATCCCCTATTCAAGTAAGAGATAGTGGGGTAAAGAGCGAAAGAAAGATTTGGCTAGAAGAGCAGGGATCGTGGGGGATCCCTCAGCGCGTATATTAGGGCCAGGAACCTTTCGCGCGCGGCGAGAGATGCGATGGCGCGACGTACTCTGCTAACTCTGCAACGCGAGGGCAGCATAATTTAAATTTAAACGACACCGCGTCCTGCCTTCGCTGTTTATACCCCAGTACCTCATTTAGATAGAATAATCAACGCATATCCTGGTCGCTGTCGCTAAGTAGCTGATTTACAGTATGAACGCAGCAGTAGCGGCAGCGCGCTTCCGCATGAAATATTTCGGCCGTAGTGTTTCTGCACTAGCTCAATGAAACTATTATATTTACCTCTTTATGGCAGGCAGCAAGTTACTACTTAGACGAAAGCAGACCTGGGAAGGGACCCCGATTTCCGCTCTCTGATCTGCCCACTCTCGCCGAGACCGTCCACTGGCTGATCCCAGTTTATACTGAGTTTTGAAGGTGATGACTGGCTCACCTACCCCAATACTTCTACTCTTCCTATGTTTAGATGGAGATTTCCTCCTTCTGGGACCAGAGCCACTTCTGCATAACCTTCGGGGCTGATTCAATCTGCACCCCCTTGTGGCTGCGCTCTAACTCCGAGGGTTAGAGACGCAGAGCAGTGACGAGTGCTCAACGGCTAACTCAACTCAGGTTTTAAACACACCTGAATTACCCATTGAGTTTAACTTTATAGTATTCCCTTCTTTCTATTTTTTCGAGTATCTGATGATCCACTATATGTAGTTCTCATCGATTTTATTCAAGGCTTTTATTAACTTTATGGTTTCTGCGTATTCTATGAAATTGTCGTCATTTCGGTTTTTTTTTGTCGATAAAGACTTTATGAGCATTTGTTATCAAGTTTACCCGATTGATAGGGTCGNGTTTTAAACACACCTGAATTACCCATTGAGTTTAACTTTATAGTATTCCCTTCTTTCTATTTTTTCGAGTATCTGATGGTCCACGATAGTCCTCATCGATTTTATTCAAGGCCTTTATTAATTTTATGATTTCTGCGTATTCTATGAAATTGTCGTCATTTCGGTTTTTTTGTCGATAAAGACTTTATGAGCATTTGTTATCAAGTTTACCCGATTGATAGGGTCGCTTTTCGTGCGTGCATAATCTATGGAACAATTCGTATGCCCGCAATTTTTCCTTGAAAAACGCATTACGAGCTGCTTATCAGTTTCTTTGTGATTTGTCAGTTTCAAAAGCAAAGACCATAATTTCTTGGGATTGTGATAACTATCATACTGTTCCTCTAACTTCTCGTTTCAGGATTCAGAGGGTTCCCGGGCTTACTTCCAGTTATTATAGTTATACAGTTATTTGCTCCTTAGAGTTATTTGCTCTGTTCATTAAGCCCCATAAACGCTTACAATCGTGAAATTTCAAGATTGGAACCTGGTCCCTACAGTGAACTTTCCGTGGAGTGGAATGTAAGAGATGTTGGATTTCACGGACAAAATGCTTTCATCCCACGACATAATCCTCACCCATTACCCGCATCCTAGTCCAATAATACACTGCACAACGAAGAAATTCAGAGTATTCCCACAGAGTAAATTGCTGGTGCCACTGTCGCTTTACGCTTTACCAGGCGTTCGAGTTAGGACCCACCAAAGGACTACTGTAGGGACGTTCGTGCGTCTAGTGTTTTTGTCTCTTGAAGCCTAGTCTCGCGTAAGTTTTAGGTTTCTTGCATTTTTGTGTCAACCCTGGAATAGAGTGATTTAACTTTGTTTATTAAGAGTTGAATGGAAAAGTTCGACTGGCTCCAAGTCTGCAAGCTCACTTTATTGAAGTACATGGGAAGAGGCGCTCAGAAATCAGGACTTAGTAGCAACGACAGGCTCCGTTAGTTGTCATTTTTCTATATGTTATAGATTTTTTTGCCGGAATTCGAGTTTATTCTCATCTCCATGTCTCTCTGAATTCCACAAAAACCGGTCTGTTGAGTGAAAGGGTGTTATGTATCCCCAGTGCAAGGGTTAAGGGGCAAGGGGCAATGAATTGCCAACATATCAAATGATTCTCGGTTCTTTCTCTTATCTCCGATACTTTCTGAAGCTGTTTTATCAGACTCGCGCATTTCGCGATGCCGCGCTGTGAGTTTATCAGCTCTCTTGGGCTACCTACATGGGAATTAGGTTTGTCCGTCATTTCATCTGTCTGATCCCACATGAACATCCCACATCCTCCACAACACTTACTATTATTCTGATTGCCTATTCATTGCACCCCAACATGTCATTTGGATTGAAAGACAATACTGATTTGACAGCTAGCCTTAATTCACTTCATTACATGTGCTAGATGTCAGTTCAAGCACATCCACAATTTTCTATAGAATAAAACTACACGGCATTTTTCAAATGGAATTGATCACTGTCAACTTCCTCCTCGTTTATTCCGATTATTATTCACGTTTTGAGAGATTCCCAATCCAGAACCTTCTATTGTAAATGAGGCAGGCATACGCGCGATTCTTTCACATCCATAAACAACACGCTACCCTTGAGTACAGCTGGACTGCAGAATCGTAATGACATTGAAAAGGAAAAGATTGCAGCAGCAGTTGTGATATAAAGTGGAAGTCCCGGATCCTCCACTACTTTCAGTTTTTGATGCATTAAAATTTCTATTTCTAGATGCTAGATGCTTTCTAGATGCTTCTATTTCTGTACTGACTTTGCGGGATTTTCTTGATATTTCTACGGTAACACGAAGTGTTGGAAGACAGTTTGTGGAATGGTGATTGTCCATCTGTCAAGTATAAACGATCTGGGACGGCGCTTGTTATGATTTTCATTCAAAACATCTAGATGTCAAGTCGTGTTTTGTTTTGTAGGTGTTTCTTTAGCTCTTAGCTTTTTTAATCCCTAATGCCTGCTCCATGCACCACCAAGAGTAACTAGATTGCACCTCACATTCTCCCACTACTCAGGTTTCTGGTGCTATTTGAAAGCTTACTTGACTTTTATAAGGAACATTTCAGTCAATTATTCAATCAGTCATCTAATCATTCATTGATACAAATGTTCTTTCTCTGTTCATTTTTCTCACTCATTCATTCATTCAAGTCGTACTTTAGTTGTTCACTTGATGCCAATGTTTCCAAACATATCTTTTTTTTATAATCATAGACTTCGCTTTTTGCTGAGGAATCCAAGTTGAAGTTTCGATGTCGCTGCCCCTTTTTGATGGTGTGCGATGGCGTGAGCTGGGAACTGCTGCGTTCTGATTATCACCTCATAAACCTTCTGCGCTCATGAAAATGATCAAACCTTCAGCTTCGCTGTATCCTCGGCCCTTATATCTCACCCAGCCTACTTGTGATGAGTTCTGCTCGACCTGGCTTTTTCATCATTTTCGCTTCAAAACTCCCATGGAATGCAATAGCCCTCTTATTGTTAGAAGGCTTTTGCAGTTGGGGATCGATTCCTAGCAAAAAGCTTACGCTACTCGTTTTTTTTTATTTTATAGTCTCATTTTGATGAAGCTTTGCATTGTAAATAGCAAAAACGTTTGACTTATAGAATTTCGCATGTTCGAGAGTAATACAACAATGCTGTTATTAGTTACACCGTTTTATAGCGTGTTCAGGAAAAGTTGCTTTTCTCTCACGCGTAAAATCGATAACCATCTATCTGCAAAATAGCCTACAAAGTAGACCAGACTTCAACAGGGTCTTGGTCAGTAGCACAGAATAAATGGTAACGACAAACACATTTATTTACAAACGATTTCTAGTAAGAGCCAATGAGATTTCAAAGGTGTTAAATGTGTGCAGGGCTGCATCATTTTCTCTCAGATCTTCCAATTTTGCGGTCATATTCATCGTTTTTTCGAAACCCTGAATGACATCGCAAATGGTATACGAACAGAAATTAGTATGTTCTCATTAATTAGGGAATAACACTGGGTTCATGGTTACAACAGTTTTGGGCAGTGACCTCACAAGCGTTAGATACGTATCGATCATTTCTACAGCACTTGCAACGCGCATTAGCGCGTGGATTTCATCAACTGCAATAAAGGAAGCTCGAAGTCAGCAGATCTCCGTAGATTTCGCTCCGGGGCAGAACCATTAGGATGGCAATTAATCGGTAGGAAAGATAAGGAAACCCGTGGAATCCTTCACCAACGCTAGGGATACGTATCGAATGGTTGGTGATGTGGAATGGTATTTCGGTTGATAAGATGAGAATCCATTTGATACTCCGGGATCTTGCTCTCTAATGAACCTTTTCGCAAACCTCGCCTATCTAGGATGTGTGGCGTGATGCTCGATCGTGGTAATTCCTAGACAGTTGTCCTACCCTGCGCTATTTATTAGCTGGTTCTAATAGTCAGTACGCAGCACTGGTAGTTACATAATTATTTTTCAAAAGCCTAAGATTTCTCTGAAGAAAACTCACATTCAAGCACTTTCTCAACATAAGGCAGATACTCGTCTTTTGAGTGATGAAGTCCGAGTTCGGACTGAGCTGACGGTGTCATGACCGAATATGGTGGTGTGTACCACAGAAGAGAAACCGAAACTGCTCTCCGACGATAAACCGCATCGGTCGTCAGCGTACGTTTTTGCTGCTGATACAGCGGTGACCGTGTAGGCTGAGGGAACTCGACCACTGGCCGTTGATGGAAGTACATCAAATCAGAATGAACCTCACCGAGGAATGAATGGGTCTTGTGAAATCACTCATCCAACTGTGCTGTGATAAGCATTGGAACGTGTGATAGGTTAATAGTCCAAGAATTTCAAGGTACAAAGCTTTACTGAAGTAGCCTCTCATCGCTCTTCAAACTTGCTCAGTGATCGATACATGGGGGAAACGCCATGCGCACAGAAAGGTAGGGGAAGCTCTGAAGAAAAATGCGCTCCACCAGTCGCCACTTACATCTGTTGTAACTGCCAGTAGGCTTCACAGCCAGAGTTAGCGTTTTTGTAATATGTCAAGAACATTACATTACCTCCACCCCCCTAAAAAAACTTACAACCTTCGTGTGATCCACTTACCTCTCCCTTCTCAGCCTATTCCTCTTATTGTTAATAATGTCTGCTTTCTCCACTTTTTTGAAGGAAAACTGCCTGATATTTCTCGAATTTGAGCCAGTAACTTCAAACGTCCGCTTCCGCTTTGTGTACAGACGAATTCGATTACCTTTACTTACTTTTCTAATAGTTTTTGCGTTGAAGCACTCAAAAACATTCGGAACAATGAATTGACAAATAGTTGTTAATCAAACGTTGTCCCATAACATACACTATGAGTTGTACAATACAAGAAAACTTCAATAATGAACTGGCTAGGTCAATTATCTTCAGTTACTCAGAAAGAAGTAGTTTGCATGGCTTAGGCAGAACCTTCCATTAACTTTCACTGCAATGCGACCTTTTTTTGCAAACACAGCGGTTTGTAGTTTTTTTTTATACAATCCTCCCGGACTAATTGATTTTACACTTTACTCTGTTTACCTGGGAAACTAATATGAAAACCGGTTTTGCAACCATTCTCTTGAAGAGAGTATATTATGTTTCGGCACCCCCTCCTTTCGGTTCCAGCTGTAAACCCCCACTGAGTTAGTTACTGTATTAGATCGTATTACTACTTCATGTAATATAGTAGTAATGCATCACACCATAAATCATCCATCGATGCAGTATGTCATTAAAATTGAAACCCATGTTATTATTATTCCAACTATTGATAAACAGCTATTTTTTGGCAAAATAGTGAATAACGATAATTATAGTAATAGTGCTTTATGCCAAGTTTCTTGGCATAAAGCACTATTACTATAATTACTAATATTATCCTTATTTTTATTACTCTCATTAAAGGTGTGTAAAATTCCTATAATAGATTGCTGTAGTGTCCGAACGGCATAAATCACGTTTCCACTGCACTTTTTGACGTCACTAAGAATAAACAAGTGGAGCTGTTTGCTTCCCCTTTCAACTTTCTTATTTTGCTTTTCACCTATGGGCCTATTGAGTGCTGATATTGATCCCTCAATAAGATGGCTATGGTCTCTGAACCTCAATAATTTCACCTTAGCGCACAGCGCCGCCAAATCGATTCGTCCTTGTTCTCACTCCTCTTCCATTCTGCTACTGACCGGCTTCATTATTACTTCGTTATTACATAAAATCAACTAATTCAACATGATAATCCTATTATCGATGATTCTTGCTGGTGCCGTTGGGAATTCACCTTTCAGGATCATGCTCATAATAGGAGTACTCATTTTGGGAGTCGCTGGCTACCTGGCTTATCTATACGTCCGATGGCAACAGGTATTTCATTTCATTGTTTTTTAAATGTTAATTTTTGAGCAGAAGGCAATGGAAGAGAAACTTCAGGGAGGGGGTCAGAGAAGAAAGTCAGAATTACCAGCAGCATTACTCTTCACCAGTCCCAAACCCAAGCATTATTTATTCTTAACGCGTACAATCAATATTCGTTCGCCACTGTTCTGAAATTTTGCCCACCTTATCATCTAGTTTATTTCAATCTATAAGACAATTCAAAGCATGTGTACACCATCGATTTACTAGATAGACAAAATTACCCTTAGAAGGTTAGAATGCTCATCTTCCACTTTTTCGGGAATATTTCGCATATTTTTTGGGGAGATCATTGTTCTCCCCTTAACTTTCGTAGCTTAATAAGTTTGATTTAGCGGCAGCAAGAGCTTTCCGTAATCGTCGAGAAACGTCGACATGAAAGGCAATTTTTAATGGATGCCGCGTTGAAATCGGCAGAACTGTTAGATGCTCAGCGAAGAGATATGATAGCTTCATGGACCTTTCAACAACTTAGAGGTCAGTGAATCTTTTTTTCACAGTCATTTTCATCGCAAGGGACCGGAGTCCACTGCGAGATCATATCATTTTCTGCTATCTGTTTCTCTCCAGTTCATTTTTTATTTTGCAAAAGTTTTCCTTGATGTTTTTTTTTGTTATTTTCTAGAACCTATACATGCTCTATGTTTGCGCTCTCAAGGCCTTGATCGCTTCTTTACAGAATTTTATTAGTCCTACAGGCCCTAGAATCACATTTGAAAGTGCTTATTTATTGGATATCAAAAGGAAGCCAGTTGAATCCAATGGGTTGCGCCGTGAACTCAACACTTTATATAATCATGGAACTGTTTGAGAGACGAGGATCGCGTATGTAATGTTCTGTGATTGATGTAAACGACAACTGTATTGGGGGCGCTTGCGTTATCGGAGAAGAACTTTATTGCCAGCTCGCTACAGGCTTACATGTTCAGCCTATTGAAGTTGTTCAGATTACGGATTGCCAGTTGCTTGATCAGAAGTCTCACAATATGATTCCTGAGGGTTCAGCAAGTTATGAATAAGTACTAAGAAGGCTGTCATAGGGCTTCAAAATATGCTATCAATTTGCAATACCATAAAATTCTCAGTCGTTCTAATTCTTAAGGGGCGGAAGTGATATAAAGGGTAATGGCGCACTTCACATACGCATGGTCACGGGTTCGAGTCCCTAATCGGTATCCGCCTGCACCAGCCAAGCCTTCCATCCCTCCAGGGTCGGTGAATTGATACCGACCTCGTCTGGAAGGTTAAGAGCACTGACTTGTATATTGGCGGCCATCGCAAGCCTATTGTATAGACCACATACGCACTCATTACCCCATTACGATTCTGATGGAAGTCGAGTGTGGGGGCGCATTCCTCAGACGGGATTGATTAACGCCAAAACTTTATACTTCATCTAATTTCTAAATTTACGCTGATACTGACCATCCTCTTCTTGGAGCTGAATTTTCTGTCATTTCCTAAAACTCCTTAAAACACTTGAAGTCATCTTGTTCCTGTCGTATTCATAGCCTTGGTGAGCCGGAACAAAACATTTCGATGCATCCCTTTACTATTTTTTCCGTTTATGGCCTTCGTTCGGGGCTTGGGCTATATTATTTGGTTCTTTTTTCGGATTCCAACTCGGCCTGCACCTGTATATAAGGAGCTTGAGTGTCTTTTCGATATTGACCTCTTCTTGAGATATTTTTTGACCTTGAAGTCTCGGTTTTTGTCATTTTTCATCCCATTACTTACTGATCGCTGCTCTTGCTTCCTGGCATTAGTGTTCAAGTAATCTTCGAGCCTGATGCTGATTTTATTATCATGTACATATTGAGTTACTGAGAGTTTTATTTTTGAAGTTTTGTCTTCTGTCTCCCTCTTTGACAATTATAATATTTACATACTTTTCAGAAAATCTCCAGTCTGGTACCGTCACATGTATCGAAGTGCTGCGAGCTTATCAGTGGAAAGCGATAAAAGCCCACGAAAAGACCAATTGCATAACGATGTTTGTCAAGGCACGTAATTGAGCAAGAGATTTTTTGAATCATCCTTAACTACTTATAATACTTTGATCAAACAATCCAGTGCCGCAATAAATTTTTTCAAGGAAGCGGAAGAGTGGGCTTCTGAATGGGACAGAAAAGCCCAGGAAAAAAGCTTTGTAAAGCCAGCTTTCTTCGGTATACCTATCAGTCTCAAAGAATGCGTGCCGGTACGTTTCAAGTGTAGTATTACTGATTTTATAAGTAGGAAGTATAGGAGCCACTGAGAAGCCGTGAAAGCCGGGTAAAGAAAGCCCAGTGAAAGCCATACTCGTTCATATTCAAATCTGAGTTTATCGTTTGTGATTGGGAAAGGTATGCTTAGGAAACGAACATCTGAAGTGGGCACTGTACTTTAAGGGAATTCGTGCCAGTACGTTTCCACTAATGAATTTTATAAGTTGATTCCCTAGTAGTAGGTCAGTTGGAAGCCAGAAAAACCAGAGATAGAAAAGCCTGGAGGAGGGGCAATGTGTTTGATAAACCTGTTCAGCTTCAGGGAGTGGATACCGGTACGTTTCGAATCACTGGGGCTGGGGTGTAAAGGCTAATTTTACTAGTGTCAAGCATAGGAGTAATAAGAGAAAGTAAGTTGTAAACTATAAGAATCTGTACGTAGTGGAGGCGCATGGGGTCAGATCTTGCTATTCGGTCTCTGTCAGCTTGCATATGAGTTCGAGAGCAGCAAACAGACTACTGGTTTCAGCTCGAAGGATATGATCAGACTCGAGGCTTTGTACAAGACGTGTATGCTCCCACTAAAGTCGATGCGGTTATGGTACAGCACGTCAAACGATTAGGTGAGACGTTCACGATTAATTCCCAAAAAACATACCATTCGTTTATACAATACAAGACGTGTATGCTCCCACTAAAGTCGATGTAGTTTTATGTGTCCATTAATTAAGTTGTGGAAAATCAGGGGGAATGAACATGATCATTTGGTTGGGCTTTTTGAAAGATTGAAACGTTTCGGTTCCTTTACTCAAACTCAAAGGCTGATGCTCTGCATGTTATGCGTTTTTCTACATGCCTCTGTCAGTATAGCCTCACCCGCTTTGAATGGACCACGCCCTTTGGCCAATATAGTCTGTTTTTAAACGTCTTTGTCATTTCAGCCATACGCACTTTAGAAAAACACGTCTCTTGGTCGTGCAGACCAAAAATAGTGAATGAATTGTACATTTCGCTCATTCACAATAGTGACACCGACAAATGTATTAGAAAAATGCCCTCGGTTTTGGTCAGAGGACATTGCTGGAATAAGGAATAGGGAAAACTTGAAGGGATTTCTGCAAGCTATGCCATTTTCTTCAAGGAAAAATTCTACCTGAGAATCTGACAATTCTGTTTGTATCCACTAAATTCGAAAACCTTATTCAGATACCTCACTTTATCTTTTTATGATTGTAATAGTAGATATCGCCACAATCTCGTCTCAAATGAATTCTTTCGACAAGTTTTTTTGAGATTAAAAGTGTTTAATAGAAGTGTTTCAAGGAATGAAGTAATAATTACTATTCGTAGACCCACCCATACTCATATTTTAACCATATAGATAGATGTTTGAGGGAATTCGCCTTTTAGGAATGATACCATTCGTACAAACAAATGTACCTCAGTCTATGTTGTCATACAGTTGCTCCAATCCGGTTTACGGTAAGATCAGAGTTACAGTACACTTTCATATGAATCAATATGTAGATCAGATTTATTTTCCATGTGACCTAAATTGTTTGTTTGATTTTGGCTTGTTGAGGTACCACAAACAATCCATTGGATAAAGAACGCACTTCTGGTGGCTCGTCTGGTGGAGAGGCAGCGATTATTGCTGCTGGTGGTTCAGTGATAGGTTAATTCATTTAAAATCCATTTTTACTCATCAACACGAAAAAATTTTTAATAACTGATAATCAAATATTGAACCCCGCTTATTTTAATGTAGGTGGTTGCTGCTGATTCGGAGCCCTGAGTTAGGGATACAGCCTGTTTTTAGCATTTTCTGTGATTTCTGATTGAACCTTTTACACAACTTCGGTAGGGAATTTCCATGGCTGAAGCATCGCTAGAGTTCATGAAGAAGCTCACGGAAAGTATGAGAAAGTGAGGAAAGCTTCTAGGCAAATCTTTCGATTTCCGGTTTCCATTGATTCCGGTAGCTGTGATTATCGCATTCGAAATGGGGCAGTAGGGAGGTAGGGTTCAGAGCTCATACTTCTTTTTCGACAGCCTACCATACTGAAGGAAAAAGCCTCTCGTTTCCTTTTGAGATCTGGTCCTCTTTATTCCAATTCGTGGACGAATACATGGCGCATACTGAGATTACTCTCCACTTAGGGAGGGTTGTTCGCACCACTGTTTCTCGGTATAACTTATTAAAACTCATATTTAACTCGAGAATTTGCTTCGTGTTCGCGGGTATTATTAAGTTTTTTAGGTATCGGCGGAGATGTAGGTGGTTCGATAAGGATCCCTTGTCATTTTACTGGAATTGCTGGAATAAAGGTTTGTATAGCTGATCATTTGAGTAGATTATTTCTCGATGCTGATCAATTTCCTCTTGGAACCAGCCGCTCATCCGCCCTCACTCTTAATTCTCGGTCGACATGTGGCGTATCGGCTCCAAGTAGTACTAACCGCTACTGTTGCTAAACCAAACTGTTACTAGACAAAAATAGTAGATGAGTAATGAAAACATGTTTTCAGCCATCCCACTTGCGATTCTCCCATCGAGGAGTTTGTGGTTCTGTTCCAGGACGACCACTTATCAACTCTAATGATGGTCCGATGACTGTGGACATAGAGACCACCGTAGATTTTCTGAGAGAGGTTCAGACAGCTTTGGTCATATTATTATTTAATTATTTTCATGAATAGTTTTGCCTTTTTCTGGTTCGCTTCGTTGTGCGCGTCCGTCGAAATTAGGTCACCGTAAGCCGTCGCTTGCGGGCGAGTCAGCTCGCGATACTTGACGGACGTCGCAGTTGTCAGTGCGGCATTCGATGGGTGCTTGGTCCACGACAGTCAGCCAAAGAAAAGATAACACGGACAAATGCAAATCATTCGCCCCACTGACACTTGTGGTACTGTAATGTCATCTCAAGACCTCTGTGAGGCGCGCCGCGCGCGAGGTGGGCAGGTTGATCTACTTTCGTCAGACGCGCGCAACAAGCGTTTCCCTCCATTTTTCCGTGCTTTTAAAATATCGTATTTCTATTTTTCATCGTAAATACTTGTAGATGTGGCGTGATGACTGGGCTTCAGTGCAGGATCCGTATATTCCGCCAGTACTGTGGAATGAAGAGCAGTACAAGGGGGGCAGCACATACCGTATCGGATACTATGTAGACGATGGATGGTTCACTCCGGTTCCTGCTATACAGGTGAACAATACACTTGCTTACATAGATATGTATTTTTGACGATTCTCCGCTAGGATTCTTTTATATGTAATAGAGTACAGTAGCCTTGCTTTCAGCTTCCCTTTACCCTGAACTGCATTGATAGTGACCCATGATTTATTAGAGCTAGGTGTTCAAATCGTTGCTGATTTCTTCAGAGGGGATGTAGTAGTTTCTTGTTTACTTTCTAGCACTCGCATCACTAGCACTTTTGAATAGTTTAAGTAGTTTCACCTATTAAGCAAAAGAATTCTGACTATGGTAACCGACTGCGCCTTCACCTTCAGACAGAGTTCAACCCTATGGCAGCTGTCCCATTCCGAAGAGGAACTTCAAGCTATTCTGAATGAAGTTCCGGTTCGAGGCGCTTCTTCAGGGAATTAGTTGATATCGGGATTTTGAATTTCTCTTATTTGGGCATGGGAGTAGATAATATGGTGACAACGGGCGCACCATCACACTCGCATGGTCCTTGGAGTGCATCTTGCAGCGATACTCACCCAGGCCAACCGAGCTTCCCAACCCTTCGAGGTCGAACAATCGGTACTATACTCGTCCAGGGAGATGAAAGTACTGACTTTTACATTCCTCGGCCACTATAGACCATTGCATGGGCCGTACACGCATTCAAACCGCCAGTACGATTTTAAATTCAAGTCTAATGCAGGGGCACATCCCTGATTAATGCCAGAGTCAATTATCTTTTCCATTATCTAGTTCGGAGTTGACTGTTGAGTAATGTTTTTCA